AGGACACCAGACCCCAGGAGCGCGCCTACGCAAGGTCCGTTCAGACCGAGGGGGAGAGTACCTGTCTGCCGAGTTCGACCCAGTACTGCGTCAGCAGGGTATCAAGCGCCAGTTGACTGTCCACGACTCACTGCAGCAAAATGGGGTTGCTGAGCGACTGAACAGGACCCTGGTAGAACACGCTAGGGCCATGCTCATCGCCAAGGACATGCCTAAGTTTCTGTGGGCAGAGGCTGTCAACTATGCCACCTGGTTAAAGAACCGCTTACCGTCTAGAGCGACTCCTGGTACCACCCCATTTGAGCTCGTCCGAAAGGCCAAGCCAAGCCTCGCCCAAGCGCACGAATTTGGCGCGAAGGTCTATTCCACCTGCAGGATGCAGGCAAACTTGAGCCTAGGGCGGAGAGGAAGCCCTTTTCATTGGAGTGGATGCGGAGAGCAAGGGCTACAGAATCTACTGGCCGGGTAAGCGCAGAGTGTCTGTGGAGAGGAACGTTACCTTTGGACCAAGGGAGGGTACACGGTGGCCGAGGATGGGCTGAACGAAGGGGGGAGCCAGACATCATGTGGTACGACAAATATAATAGCAGCAATACTAATAACAGCACCTGTCGTCCAGTCCATCCCGCCACCTCCCCAACCCCAGCCAGAACCCCATCTCAACGCCCCCACAACCCACCAGCACCAAGAACCACCCGCACCAGACCCCCTCAGGATATTATGCGGCCCTCAATGAGGGGGGAGACCGCGTCCCTAGCTTTAGATTCCCTGTTGGAGGCGTCAGAGTTAGATCTTCTAGACTGAAGAAGGACATATCCACCTTGCATTGGCCCGCTGCAGAGCCAGAACCTACTCTCAAGCAGGCTGTTAACATGGTCCGGATGGAGTAGAGTGGCAAGAGGCGCTGGATTATGAAATTGGTCAGCTTGAGAAGCTAGGTACGTGGGAAATTGTAGACGCACCTCGAGGCGCCAACATATTCCCTGCCACTTCGTCCTCACCACGAAGTGTGGACCGGACAGGAGAGAGCTCAAGTTGTCGAGCTCGCCTAGTCGCCAACAGCCAGCACCAGCGCTACAGCTGTCGACTACTTCGAGACTGTTTGCGCCCCACCAGCAAATATGACTACCATACGGCACAGTACTGACGATGGCGGCTCAGAAGGACTGGGAGATTCATCAGGTGGACATAAAAAGTGCGTACCTCTATGCCAGCATCCAAGAGGAGATCTACATGAGGCCGCCGCCTGGGTACCTGAAGGCCGGGCAGGAGGGAAAGGTGTTGAAGCTTAAGAGAAGCCTACCTGGACTCAAGCAAGCCGGTTTTGAGTGGGCGGAGGAGCTAGCGGGAGTATTCGCTGACCTGGGTTTCAGCCGTTCGAGAGTGGACCAGGCAGTCTACTTCAAGCGCATGCCGAAGGAGCACATTGTCATTACCGTATCCGTCGACGACATGGCCGTCATGGCGAACCACATCTCCCACATCGTCCAATTCAAGTCCCAGCTCCAGCAGTTCTTCGAAATTACGGACCTGGGAGAGCTAAACTGGTTGTTAGGTTTGAAGGTAACGAGAGACAGGAGAGCACGTACAATAACGCTGTCGCAGAAAGCGTATGTGGCGACTCTCGTCGAGCGCTTCCATTTGGCCGACGCCAAGAACGTCCAGACCCCAATGGAACCTGGAGTCAGCCTCTCGTCAGACCAGTCCCCTTCGACGCACGCAGAGCTGCAGGATATGCGCGACGTACCTTACCAGAGGGCCATCGGCTCCTTGATGTATGCCGCAACCAGCACCGCCCAGATATTGTTCGCCGTGTCGTGCTTGTCCCAGTTTATGCGCAGCCCAGGCAGACCCCACTGGGAGGCAGCCAAGCGCGCACTGCGCTACCTAAAAGGTACAGACACCTTCGAATTGACGTTGGGCCAAACAGAAGGAGGGCTTGAAGCTTTCGTTGATGCGGATTGGGCCTCCCAAGCCCATAGACATTCGACGTGGGCTACATTGTGTTCCTCCACAGGGGAGCCGTGGCCTGGAGTGCTCGTAAGCAACCTATAATCGCTTTGTCCACAGCCGAAGCCGAATACATCGCACTCACCAGCATTGTCCGCGAGCTCCTGTACCTCCGACTTCTCATCGAAGAGCTCTACGAAGCTCCTATGCAGCCCATCCCCATCCTCTGCGACAATCAAGCCGCTATAGCACTCGCGTCGAACGGAAAGTTTCAGTCACGCACCAAGCATATCGACCTCCGGTACCACTTCGTCCGTTCACACGTCAAGGACGGGACGTTCAAGCTCCACTACTGCCCCACAGACGATAACGTAGCCGACGCCTTCACGAAGGCAGTGCCACGACCCCGTTTGCAAAAGCTTAGAGCCCACATGGGACTAGCTTGCGCTCGAGGGGAGTGTCGTCGACCGAATGCTCCGAGAACGACGCCGATGAAAACCGAGGGCAAGGCACGCCGTGATGAGTAGATGATGCGAGCGCAAGGGGAGAAAGGCAGGCACGAGGAGGATGTGATGTCGGGGCCGACGCTGCACAGATCAATGTTTTCATTCTAATATGTCCGATACGGAATCACTTACAGTATAAAGTCTAGCGGCACGCAGATGAGCGTCTCAGTTCTGTTCCCAGAGACTGAGACGTGAGTACCCATACCTTAGCTATTCATATACAGACGCTGATGCGACGTAGTACTCTTACCTGCTAGGTACACGTTTTGTCAATACTGAGTTCTGTTTCCCAGAGACTGAGACTACTCTTACCTGCTAGATTCTATCCATGCGGTTACCTTCTCCAGACTGTCCCGCCTATTGTGTAGTATATAATATTGCCTGAAACACTCAATTAGCGAACACCAGTATCAAACACTGGACTTACACCTATTGGCTCGATATAACGAGTCAAGTTCAATGGTTAGAATTTCACTCACCCCTACATATGAGTGTATTCATCAGATGGAATGTGATAATTGCGTAATACTCACTGCATCTGTGAGTGAGACAAATGGCATCCATTCTGTGTGCCGCCGGTCAGAAGAGTCGAACACAGTGAATGAAACATACCCATAACAATGGCACTAATTGTCAAAGATGAGCTATCAGCACGGTACCAATCTGTTGGTCTCGACACATACACAGAATACAGTATTCCAATATAGCGTATCTAGAACATTTTGGAGTCAGCGCAACGTGCCCACCGTGCTAAAGCACAACATGAGGTACTGACAATCAAATACAGCACACTCATGAGAGACCATCGTTGTCTCTGTCGCGAATTCATTGCATGCTCTTGTTTTCTTCTGATACGGGACTTTTGTCACTCACCCAGATGAGTTCAATCTATGGCGTCATTCTTAGCAAGTTAATTACTCCAACGGTAACATCGATGTACCTCTTGTCCGAGTGTTAAGACTGGAAATATCATTAGAATATCAGCGATTTTCGAACACTGTCTTGCTTACCCCAATCGTATACCACCATGACGCCCGCAGCAACTGCGAAACTACACGTCAACGTTAGATCTAGACATCTTGATGCGACGAACCTATCCAATAGCTTAAACCAATGTTCAAATTTATTATCGGCCACCAACTGGGATCATTTAAGACTATGACCGCCATATTCAAGGATGAGTGTGAGTAAATGGGGAATGTTGGTGGTGTATAACGATAGCATTTACGCTAGATATACCACCGTTCAGCGCTTGTATCACCAAAATTAGCATGGTGGAGATAGATATTTGATCTCACCTGAAGACCCTTGATCAGGTGAAGTAAGCATCAGTGAACCGGTGAAAAATGACAAGGGTATTTGTAGCGGTATATTATTGTAGACCATCACAAAAATCTGCGTAAATCGGCTGCCTATTTTCATATGTGAATGTTTGTTGTTATCGAGGAAAGACTCGCTTGAATGGAACCAACACAACATGAAGCGGCACAGTTTATCAAGGTAAATATGAACCCAGGCTCAGAGGGGGAGGTTGGAATGTGTTCAGGTGAAGGACAGTTCAGCGACGCTGAATAGTGGTGCTGATTTGTGTGATTTGGTCTTCAAGTATTTGGCTGCTAGCGGAGAATAGTATTACAGTGCGATAGCAAGACTGTGCTTGATTACAATAGTCATGGCTACAGTACCAGGGACTCACTGATTTCCTGATGGTAGTCTTTGCTGCGCTACCTTCGGTGTTTGCCGAAAGTCGAGTAATGAACCTAACTACTGTGCGCTCAGTAACCTCAATTGGACTTTGAATTCCTTTGTACGCTACGAAGATACGTATGTTTCCCTCGATAAAAAACTTGGAATGCTAACATACTAGTATCTTCATTGTACATTCCGCTATCGTTCATGTCGTCATCCTAATGTGTAGGATATCATTTCTGGACGCCTGATCTAACCCGACATCTATTCTAGGCTATCCTTCTTTCAAAGACAACTTCCCGCCATCGATATCACCGGTCACTGGCACCCACAAGTCGTATTCCTTATTAGTCGTTGCAATTCAAATTATTGTCGAAATTTCTCCCCGTTTCCCTGCACGCGTGTATGTCTGTGTCTTGGTCATGCTTAGCAGGGGCTCCAACAGAATATCGTGGCTGATCTGCCTAACCCCCGCTGATGCATGGATGATGAGACCCAATTATCAGCTCCTTTTCTGGGTACCTCCTGCTTCCCGACATGCATTTTATACTCCTTGGACTTCATCGGTGATATCCTGAGCTTGATTTGAGCCGCATGGCACATGGAACGCACTGGTCGAGTTGCCGAGATGCGTGAGTTCCTAGTCATTTCCGTCCTCGCAGTTGCTAACGTTAATCCTGCTAGCTGCACGTCACAATAATTGTATTGTTTATAATATCGGGCGTACCATTCGATTCTTTGATTACTTGACAATGTTATACCTAGCACAGAACTTGAATTTACGATTGTCCGGATAAACAACAGCGAGTCGGTGTAAGTGGTACTGTCAGAAGCTATCAATATTTCAGTTTTCAACTACACCAGATATCTAAAACCAATCGGATCTCGAAGCTCATTGATATCGTGAACATCCTGCTCATTCCTCTCGATCTGCTCGTTCAATTGCTTCAGATACAAATACATACCACCAAGCATCCCTGTCGACACTCCGAGTGCAACGATGCAGATGGCATAGGAATAACGATATGTCGGGCCCCAGCTCGACGGCCATACGTACCTATGCGAACAGTGCAGTGAATAGTTAGCGAGAGAAAGAGATCGGCGACAACGTCACTGACGCTCCGATAATACCGCCTATCTGCCCCAGTGCGTTCATCAGAGCGATAGCAACGGCGCGCTTTGCAGGTTCTCTGGCGAAAGTGTTGCTGATCCACCCAAAGAGCAGCAAGTATCCACCGATGACTTGAGTCATCAGGAACCTGTATATTTCTGAGTACAAGAGGGACGCCCCACAAATGGCGATACCACTTACAATGAAATATAGCGCGCAGCCTTGTCCATCGTAAATATTGATATGATGAATGCAAGGACGCAGATTGCATTGGAGACCATGAAGCATTTGTAACGCTTTTGCTTCTTGTCAGAGTACCTGGGCCCTGTGAGATGCGACTTCGCGATAGAAATGATTGACTAACCATGTAAGAGCAAATGAGACCACACCCCCGAACACCCACGGAGGAGCGCAAAGCAACAGCGTTACAGTCGTGTCATATCCCAGTGTCGCGCACAGCGTTGGGAAGTAACCGATGAAAGACAGCCCCACTATCTGGAACATAGCTGCAACTGAAAACAACCACACCTTCCGGTCAGACAAGGCATCCCGCAGTCCTTGCATGGTCGTCTGTTTCCCAAGTTCGTCAGCATCATCATAGCCATCTTCTGCAAGGCGAGAGATAGCGAGTTCTCTTTCCTCCGGGGTCAACCACCTGGTGTGTACGGGAAATCAGGGAGTATGAACATCGCGCAAATCGCGACCGAGATGGTGATGCCGCCTTCAATGTAAAATAACCATCTACAGATCATTCAGCTTCAAGGAGCGATAGAAACGATAGCCACCTGCCTCCATGCAGCTTGACCAATTTTGTCCTGCATACCGTGAAGTATACCAGATGCAAACAGCGATCCGAATGCAGAGCTGAGAAAAATTCCACTAGAAATGAGAGCTATTCTCAATGCGACCTCGTCTCGCTTGTACCATTTAGATACAAGGAATATGACACCGGGGAAGAAGGGAGCTTCAGCAAGGCCAAGAAAGAAGCGGGCGACAACAATCCCAGTAAAACTTGGGTCCAAACTATCAGAAACAGGATCTGAACGATGCAAAACAAGGAAGTGTACTTCGTTGTGGTCCCTGAGCATAGTCAGCAGCCATTTTCATGAACGATCAGTGTTAACAACCTGACAATACTGATATTGTACCCCATGCTAACATACAGCACGGAAGGATGACAGAAGGTCTCCCCAGCCAGTGTAGAACATGTTCCTGAAGAAAAATTAGGTTCAGCTGCCTCTCGATGAAGGACGAAAACTCACCCTGGGACTTGCATTGTAATGTATCCAACAGATAGGATGGACAAAGTTGTGGCGTATTGTTCCCCATGCAGGTGCAGGTCTTTCTCCAAACCTTGTAACCGAGCGTTGCTGTAGATGTCATAAGATTCATGCAAGTACGATGGTATGTCGCGCACCTAATATTAGTTCTGTCAATCTAGGGTGCACAGTGAGTATCAAATAGAGTTTTTAGAGACCTCAGACTCACGAAGTTCAAGGTATATAAAATCAGTATTATGGACATACGCAAATCAAGCTTCCTCAGCAATCTCCTCTCAAGGTCATCACGAGTATGACAGCGGACACCATCGGGCACGTCATCGATCATGACGACGGTGTCAATCGTTTTTGAATCGCTGAGAGTGGGCATCCTTGAGGGGAGGGGGATAATGCAACATGTGGGGTTGCATCTCTTATCGACACGCGGGAAGAACGGTGCCGATTTGATTACAGCAGGATGTGATGGAATCGTCTACCAACGTCCCACACTAAGGTTGACCGCACCATCGATGATTATAATAGCAAATCAGGCTGCTCAACGTCAACTTCTAGACCCATCCTAGCGATGGCACCGGATCAGCAGCTCTGGTGATTGGTTGGGCCAAATAGTTGTACTGGAGGATGAAGCTGGATGAAGCAACTGGATGACGGAACTGCGTTGCGAGAACGTACCCATCATCCGGCAGAAGCCCTGTGCCAGGGCCAGCGGGAGGTAGATGCAAGGAAGTTTGAACATCACATTATGTGACACGAGTGTGACAGTTCAGACCGGACTCGGAGGAGTACTATGACGGGTGGTAGCATAAAACCAGCTAGAAATTACTAGTATTTTGAGTAATGAAGACGCCTAAGTAGCCATTCGACAGAAAGGGCAAACTATTGGTCTCCCAGGCCACACCTTGGTATGTTCTTCTTATGTAAATAGATAAAAACAAAACTTGGAATGCTAAAAATAGAGCGATCTTTCGCTACAGTCGAGCGCATCGATGAGTCCGCAGGATTCATTCCTTCTCCGTGGCCCGAATGAATAGAAATGCATATCAGCCTAATACAGCCAGGTAGGCTTCACACTTCGCAATCACTTCTTCATCATTTCAGTGCAATACTTCGGTAAATATTTCAATACCCAGCATCAAGGACCATGTCAGTTGCTGGACATTGAAAACCGCCAGCCTTGCACTCTGAAGAGGATGAAGATGCGCTGCCTCCTCGAGATGCTGGCTACGTATAACATGTGTATGCGTTCTATGCACTCTCGGACCCTGAACCTCCTGAGACCCTGACCTTTGTCTCTACGCACTCTAGGTCTCTGCACTCGCCCCGCACTGGCTCTAGCTCTCCTTTCCTCCGACTCTACACCCTTCCTAGCCTGCTCTCCTGCCAACCCCGTCTCCACGAACCCCTGCTCGAGCTCCCCATTGTAACATTCCGCATAATTTCGGCTCACACTTGGTGCAAGCATATGTGAGTAGCTACCCCGTTCCGGTAGTGATGCCGGTTGACCTGACTAATCTTTCAAATATACTTCGAAAACCATAAATAACACGACGACCCTCCACCAATTTCTCCTCCCTGTAGACTACTCGGCAAGCATTTCCCTATACAGTACTGCTGGTCGATACATGTACATGCTCCTGG